GCTGTGGAGCTTTGCAGCTCCTTCAGGGTTATCTTTGGTCTCTTTGTTGCCTCTCTGATTAATGCCCTCCTTGCCTGGTCCGTGAGTTTTGGTGGGCGGCCCTCTCTTGGCAGGTTTGTTGTGGTGCTACAGTGGGGAAAAAAAGTATTTAGTCAGCCACCAATTGTGCAAGTTCTCCCACTTAAAAAGATGAGAGAGGCCTGTCATTTTCATCATAGGTACACGTCAACTATGACAGACAAAATGAGAAGAAAAAAATCCAGAAAATCACATTGTAGGATTTTTAATGAATTTATTTGCAAATTATGGTGGAAAATAAGTATTTGGTCAATAACAAACGTTTCTCAATACTTTGTTATATACCCTTTGTTGGCAATGACACAGGTCAAACATTTTCTGTAAGTCTTCACAAGGTTTTCACACACTGTTGCTGGTATTTTGGCCCATTCCTCCATGCAGATCTCCTCTAGAGCAGTGATGTTTTGGGGCTGTCGCTGGGCAACACGGACTTTCAACTCCCTCCAAAGATTTTCTATGGGGTTGAGATCTGGAGACTGGCTAGGCCACTCCAGGACCTTGAAATGCTTCTTACGAAGCCACTCCTTCATTGCCCGGGCGGTGTGTTTGGGATCATTGTCATGCTGAACGACCCAGCCACGTTTCATTTTCAATGCCCTTGCTGTTGGAAGGAGGTTTTCACTCAAAATCTCACGATACATGGCCCCATTCATTCTTTCCTTTACACGGATCAGTCGTCCTGGTCCTTTGCAGAAAAACAGCCCCAAAGCATGATGTTTCCACCCCCATGCTTCACAGTAGGTATGGTGTTCTTTGGATGTAACTCAGCATTCTTTGTCCTCCAAACACGACGAGTTGAGTTTTTACCAAAAAGTTCTATTTTGGTTTCATCTGACCATATGACATTCTCTCAATCCTCTTCTGGATCATCCAAATGCACTCTAGCAAACTTCAAATGGGCCTGGACATGTACTGGCTTAAGCAGGGGGACACATCTGGCACTGCAGGATTTGAGTCCCTGGCGGCGTAGTGTGTTACTGATGGTAGGCTTAGTTACTTTGGTCCCAGCTCTCTGCAGGTCATTCACTAGGTCCCCCCGTGTGGTTCTGGGATTTTTGCTCACCGTTCTTGTGATCATTTTGACCCCACGGGGTGAGATCTTGCGTGGAGCCCCAGATCGAGGGAGATTATCAGTGGTCTTGTATGTCTTCCATTTCCTAATAATTGCTCCCACAGTTGATTTCATCAAACCAAGCTGCCTACCTATTGCAGATTCAGTCTTCCCAGCCTGGTGCAGGTCTACAATTTTGTTTCTGGTGTCCTTTGACAGCTCTTTGGTCTTGGCCATAGTGGAGTTTGGAGTGTGACTGTTTGAGGTTGTGGACAGGTGTCTTTTATACTGATAAGTTCAAACAGGTGCCATTAATACAGGTAACGAGTGGAGGACAGAGGAGCCTCTTAAAGAAGAAGTTACAGGTCTGTGAGAGCCAGAAATCTTGCTTGCTTGTAGGTGACCAAATACTTATTTTCCACCATAATTTGCAAATAAATTCATTGAAAATCCTACAATGTGATTTTCTGGATTTTTTTCTTCTCAATTTGTCTGTCATAGTTGACATGTACCTATGATGAAAATTACAGGCCTCTCTCATCTTTTTAAGTGGGAGAACTTGCACAATTGGTGGCTGACTAAATACATTTTTTCCCCACTGTATATTCTTTCCATTTTTTAATGATGGATTTAATGGTGCTCTGTGGGATGTTCAAAGTTTCGGATATTTTTTTATAACCCAACCCTGATCTGTACTTCTGCACAACTTTGTCCCTGACCTGTTTGGAGAGCTTCTTCATGGTGCCGCTTGCTTGGTGGTGACCCTTTCTTAGTGTTGTTGCAGACTCTGGGGCCTTTCAGAACAGGTGTATATATACTGAGATCATGTGACACTTAGATTGCACACAGGTGGACTTTATTTAACTAATTATGTGACTTCTGAAGGTAATTGGTTGCACCATATCTTATTTAGGGGCTTCATAACAAAGGGGGTGAATACATATGCACGCACCACTTCTCCATTATTATTATTTTTTACTTTTTTGAAACAAGTTATTTTTTTCATTTCACTTCACCAATTTGGACTATTTTGTGTATGTCCATTACATGAAATCCAAATAAAAATCAATTTAAATTACAGGTTGTAATGCAACAAAATAGGAAAAAGGCCAAGGGGGATGAATACTTTTGCAAGGCACTGTATGTATTCATTCCTAGGACAAACTTTACAAGACAACAGTTTAAAACAGTAAAATATATTTATTTACAGAAAACGTAATCAACACTTGCAGCATACCTCTGATGTGTTATGGGAAGGACATTAGAACAGTGAACTACAAATAGCACGTTTAAGTATGCGGTTATTGAATAGATGGGCATGATAGAAATATAGCTAAATGTACAGGTTGATGATAGGAATGAGCTAAATGTACAGGTTGATGATAGAAATGAGGTAAATGTACAGGTTGATGATAGGAATGAGCTAAATGTACAGGTTGATGATAGGAATGAGCTAAATGTACAGGTTGATGATAGGAATGAGCTAAATGTACAGTTTAAACTACAGTGATACTACTCTACATGAGAATGTAGGTATCTGTTCCTGAGGGACAACTTGTTCGCATGATCATGGACAATCGCGTTGTCACAAAGTTCACAGAAGTGCCCATGTTGTACCTGTAGATCTAGTTCCGATTCCTATTTGATGAAAACACTTGTGGTGGAAAAATATCAGTGTTTCCTCGATGTCAGTGGGGGGAAACACAAGGACCTGGTCTTCTTCAATGAACTCCTAACACCCTGACAGAGGATCCGTCTGTTAAGGGGTCTCAGAGGTTTCCCCTGTAAGTAAACCTATGCATTCTCTGTAGGAAAAAGTAACACAATTGAGCTGTATATTATATATAATATTGCAGTAAAACATGGAGTACCTCACCTGAGGCAGAGTCCCATATTTCAGTCACTCTCAGGCTTGCTGTGTTTGGGTACAGCTCAATGTTGGCGGCAAGGTAGACATCTTTATCGTTTTAATGTCAAGTCTGTACAAAAGTAAATAACTGGGGGCAACATCAATAACAAAACCACATCTACCCTGCTATTTTCTTGTAATTATGAATAGCTCACCTGAAATAGAAAGCCCTACCAAAGATTTTTATAACTAAAACAAGATAGACCACAGGCTGTTATTTCAAATGGGAACAAATGAGTCATAGTGGGCAGAACAAGCAAGGAGATGGGCAGAGGCAAGCACGAGCTAGTGAAATCCTATTGGCGCGTTCTAGCATACAAAAATTAAATAAAATTGTATTTGTCACATTAGCCAAATACAACCGTGAAATACTTACTTACAAGCCCTTAACCAACACTGCAATTTTAAGAAAATAGAGTTAAGAAATTATTTACTAAACTATGCATAGATAATAAACAGCGAGTAGCAGCAGTGTAAAATAAAATAGAAAAATAAGCATTCTTATGGCTTGGGGGTGGAAGCTGTTAAGGAGCCTTTTGGACCTAGACTTGGCACTCCGGTACTGCTTGCCGTGCAGAGAGAACAGTTTATGACTTGGGTGACTGGAGTCTTTGACAATTTTTGGGGCCTTCCTCTGATACCGCATACTATAGAGGCAGGATGCTTGGCCCCAGTGATGTACTGCGATTTACACACTACCCTCTCTAGCGCCTTACGGACATATTTTTTTCCGTTAGGGAACGCCTACACTGTGAAGTGCGTGTGTGTAATAACTCAATTTGCCTTTGCACTCTTTCTAAACAACGCCATTTTTGGAAACTTTGGCAAAGGGTGAAGTCTACAAAACGTAGTCCACACTGTTCGTAACAGATTCTCATTTTGGGAACAGAAAACTGTATTGAGATAAAATGTTTCATCGAAGTGAAAATTAGCAGAATGAATCGTTTAGTCTGTCAAACCAGACAACCATATTGTGAGGGGAATGCTCACTTCATCCCCCAAAAAAGAAGAGGAACTCACTAACATAGGATTTAGGAATTAAGTAAACAAAGTATTAAGATACTTAGCTAAACCGCTAATTTAAGAATCTCCCTGGTGTAAACCGGGATTTATGTTCGGCTTGTTTGCACGCTGGATTATGGAGTCACTGTGAGGTGAGTTTAACCTTATCAACAGCTCTAGCTATAAATTCCATGGTTTGTTCCCAGAGAATGGACAACATGAGATAAAGGCTCACGACAGGGCCGGCCATTAACAGCGTCTATAACGCTTCAAAGGTAAACAATAATAAATTACAATGATTACATCTTTTTTACTTTTACAACAGAATAAATACAGCACACACAATCACTTATATATTTAGAAGCCTAATCCTGGAGTAACAGGTCACGGTACGTAACTAGTCATATTACTGTACGTAACATATTGCCCCTAATATTACCATAAAATAAATATATAATTATATTACTGTAATAGAAAATCTGGATCATTTTGTGATAAATACATATATATAAATATATATATATATATATATGTGCACACGTCAGGGCGAAGGGTACGAAGTCTGAATTCCGCCACAGTCATAGTGCCATCTAGTGTTTCGCAGAAAATCAGTTTAGAAAAAATATATATACTGTACTGAGCATGTGAATTCACAGTAGGACACTCAGCTGTAAACACCGACTTCCTTGTGAGAGAATATGGAATGTATATGGTATCAATATGGTCATATATGGTGACGGAGAATGTTTTTTTTATGCCTTTGTTCCTTTATTGGACTGCTTTCTTGCTTTTTTTCAATCGTACATTAGTTTGGTGCATGTGATAAAAGCTTCCTTTTAAAATATTTTCCATTTTCCATTTTATACAGTTAGCTATCCCATTCTGAGCCAGTGAACAGCAAGGTGATTGGGAATCATTATAAATACTAGTCAGAAAAAGTACACATGTACACCAGACACGTTTTTCTTCTATAATTTTATTGCATTTCCTCGTAAGATAACATGTACAGCCCAAACACAAACAACCATGCAGGCGTCCATGTGGATGCCATGTTATGAATGCAAATCATACGTCTGTTGTGGACTGAATCAGGGAGTCTCTTAGGCCCACAGAGGCATGTCAGCGCACAGCTCTTGGCTCTGGTCGGTGACGGTCATCACGTCGATGTTGATGCCGTTGGAGGTGAACACGTTGTACAGCTCCTCCAGTTTCTCCTCAGAGAGGGTGGGCTCTCTGCTCAGGATCCAGCCAAAGTCGGCGTGGAAGGTGCCCAGGATGTCCGTGCAGCCGTAGACCACGGAGTAGCCCTCGTAGTCGGTGGACAGCACCCAGTAGTTGCCGGGGGGAGAGTCTGCAAGAGATGAGAACATATATTCAAATACATTTAGTAGTTTGTTAACGAGAATAATTTAAAAAAAGATATATGGTCCATCCTCCCTTTCCTATAAATATTGTTACGAAACCCAGAACTAGCCTAAGGATAGTGTTGCACTCTCTTTGTCTAGGGGTCCTAGGCCTAGTTAGCTGGTCTGTAACCTGAATGAATGAGTGCATTTATGTGAAAGCAAAGAGGCACTGAGTTTGAAGGTAGGCCTTGAAATACATCCACAGGTACACCTCCAATTGAGAAGCTTCTAAAGCCATGACATCATTTTCTGTAATTTTACAAGCTATTTAAAGGCACAGTCAACTTAGTGTATGTAAATTTCTGACCCCACTGGAATTGTGATACAGTGAATTATAAGTGAAATAATCTGTCTGTAAACAATTGTTGGAAAAATTACTTGTGTCATGCACAAAGTAGATGTCCTAACCGACTTGCCAAAACTATGGTTTGTTAACAAAAAATGTGTGGAGTGGTTAAAAAACGAATTTTAATGACTCCAAACCTAAGTGTATGTAAACTTCCGACTTCAACTGTACATGTGCCCAGGGAGACAGCAACCTTACCTTAGTCCAGGGCCAGCTCAGTCTTTCTTGACGTCTTGGTCGTCCAAGCAGATTGTTATTTGTTCAGATGGTGACGAAACATGAATATGTACAAAAAGGAAAAATACCAAAGGCCCAAACTAAACAAACCCATCAGCCTCACAGCTCTATCTGCTGCTTCTCTGACTGACCATCACCTTCATTGGCAGAACCTGATGTGCTTATCAACCAAGGCTCAGCATTTGGACAAGGTTGCTGCTGCCCCCTGGGGGATGGAGTGTGGAAGTGTATCCTGTCAATGTGTTTGCCTAACTGTGTGCTAACACTACACCACCTACTACATAACACTATACATGTACATACACATACAGGCCTCAGATCAGACATGAGTCAGAAACAGACAACATAAGAAGTCAAATGGACTTATATAGGTCTACCTCACAAGAATGTTGAGACCAATATATTAGACTTGAGGTGTGTTTACCCTCGAAGAAGGTGACTTGCAGCTTGGCAGGCTCAGAGGGGTCCTTGGCCTTAGCATAGCCAGTGATAGCACTGACCGTGTTATCAGCACTGAGAGAAAAATGGAGAGAGAGGGTTAGAGGTTAAACACATTCAACAATGGCGTTTTATAAGGCCTACTAACTCATGGGCCCCTACTCAATCAATGGCAGATAAAGGAAAACAGCACTTGCACGTTCACTGGGAATGTTTTACGCTATATCTGAGGTGATAACCTTGTCAACCGACTCACCCCCACGTAAGCTGTGGGCATTTTCATTGGATAATGACATCACATCCCACCTGTCCTTCAGTTACCATTCTGAGTAAACCCACAGTGCGGTTTTCCTTTAACTGTATTTGATTGAATAGAAGCCTCAGACTTGGGTTTATAAAGGATAGCCTGGTCTCATGGAATGAGATACATTTTACATTTACATTTGAGTCATTTAGCAGACGCTCTTATCCAGAGCGACTTACAGTTAGTTAGTGCATACATTATTTTTTCATACTGGGCCCCCGTGGGAATCGAACCCACAACCCTGGCGTTGCAAACGCCATGCTCTACCAACTGAGCTACATCCCTGCCGGCCATTCCCTCCCCTACCCTGGACGACGCTGGGCCAATTGTGCGCCGCCCCATGGGTCTCCTGTTCGCGGCCGGCTACGACAGTGCCTGGATGCAAACATTTAATTTAAAGGTGAAGTCAGAGATGCATGAAGTAAACAGCAATATCGGCTCGATTTCCAACAATAACTAACAGCATTGAAGCACGAGGCAAAACATCTCTGTTGTTTCAGATCCGGCAGCTATCACGTCGTAGCTATGGACGCTATCGTGGCAACGTCATATCGCTGAAGTCTCAGTTTAATGTACAAAAATGTACTTTAAAAAAAAAAAAAACGTTTTAACTTGATCTCTTTAATGTACATACAGCAGCTCCCTGTTGAGGACACCAACGACTCCGGGGCTCTTCAGGGAGTAGGTAGCAGTGGTGCACTCGCCCTTCTGGAAGACGGCAGGAAGCTTCTGGATCTCGTACCACTTGCCCAGATACTGTACCAAAGACAAAAGGTCAAAGGTTATATGACAATGTTATGCTATGGTACGGCTTAGAGCTCCGGGGTTAGGTTTCCCCTATGTACAGATCTAGGCTCAGCTTCCCCTCCCCCAATCCTAACCTTAACTATTAGTGGGGAAACTGACCGAAGATCAGCATCTTTTTTATTAAAGTGGAAATAGGAACAATCTCTCTTCCACTTGTGTAATAACACAAAATGCTCAAACGCATTACTATGTAATGACAAAACAATTACTAAATGAATAGGTAACAATTGATGAATACAACACAGGAGGTTGGTGACACCTTAATTGGGGAGGACGGGCTCGTGTTTAATGGCTGGAGCTGAACAGGTGGAATGGTATCAAATACATCAAACACATGGTTTCTGTGTATTTGATGCCATTCCATTTGCTCCGTTCCGGACATTATTATGAGCCTTTCTCCACTCAGTAGCCTCCTGTGGAATACAGTGTTACTCAAGTAATGACACTGTTACTACAATGCTACTGCACATGCATAAGAGCAACTTCATATACAGTAATAAAAGTTAGGTATAGTCACCTTGGCGGCATCGAAGTTAGCTTGGACGGGGGGTTGGGGGCATTTTCCAGGGCGTAAGGTCTGGGCGTTAGCTGCCAGAACCGACAGCAGGGTCAGAGAGAGAACCTGTAGAGCCTGCATCTTAGATCCTGGGCAGGAACAGACACAAACACACACAGAAAAGCAGAGACATTTTCACCAACTCCATTGGAGGACAATGCAAATTGACTTCGGAAATACAGTACTTAATTAATATCAAAACCTTTTAGGGGAACAGAAAAAACATGTTGTATAAGCAATTCTCCTAGACTCTGGTAAAGCAAGTTACATTTTACATCAGAAGTATGTTAGGAATGTAATGCATTGTGGTTAACAACTACAGGCCTACAGAGTGCTTCGTTCATAAGGCAATGTGAAATGGCAGAGCTTAGAGCATCAGAGAGAGAGATAGGGGAATGGGTCCTACTTACCTGTACTTCAACTCGTTTCAGTGATGTTCGGTGGCTTATAGACGCCTATTTATACCTCAAACTCATTCATTATGCGGCTGACGCATCTCCCTCTTTGCTTTCATGTCGGGTTTTCTCAGAACTCAGAATTGAGAGTGTGTGTGTTAGTGTTTGTATTGGGGTGGCGGGGTGTGTGGGAGTGGTTGGGAATATGGCACCTGTTCAAATTAGTTAGAAACAAACTACTGGCTGACTCTGCTAGGGACTGACATGTTATTGGTTTCGGTTGTTACACAAGTGGAACAACACGCCATTTTGCAGATGCTTTTATTCAAACTGACTTACAGTTGTGAGTGCATACATTTTCGTGTTGGTGACCCTGGCGGGAATCAAACCCACGATCCTGCCGTTGCAAGCGCCATGCTCTACCAAAGTACTAAGTAATAACATGTTAATACAATGTCGTTACTAGTGTAATCACAGTGTGTTTCTACACAGGCAGAAGTGTAACTTGACTTCTTACTACTTTCTTAGATGTTGTACCATTGCAAAACATTGCCAGCATTCAAGCTATGACTTGCGAAAATATGCAGCAAAGTGTCTAAATTGGATCCCCTCATCAATTTGACTACCCTTTTTAAAACGTTTTAACTGGGGTTACAATGGGACTTATATTGGGGTTGATTTTGAGGACCATTTTAGCGGAATAGAAGACACATTTAATTGTTTTAAGTGACATCCCTAAGGCGGCAGGTAGCCTAGCTGTTAAGAGTGCTGGGCCAGTAATTGAAAGGTTGCTGGATCGAATCCACTAGTCGCTCTGGATTAGAGCGACTTTTTAATGACTAAACTGTAGTGGATATTACCCCCATGGATGTATTGTAAGTACATTTTGGAGATGTGTTTCAACATCAAGCAAAGAAAGACATGGAGAGAAATAAACAAAGGTCTACAGTAGCCTCAACAGCACTCTTTAGGGTAGCACCATGGTGTAGCCGGAGGACATCTAGCTTCCGTCCTCCTCTTGGTACATTGACTTCAATACAAAACCTAGGAGGCTTGTGGTTCTCACCCCCTTCCATAGACTTACACAGTAATTATGACAACTTCCGGAGGACGACCTCCAACCTACAGTGAGGGAAAAAAGTATTTGATCCCCGGGTTCTCACCCAAGATTTGATGGTACATGGCCCCGTCCATCGTCCCTTTGATGCGGTGAAGTTGTCCTGTCCCCTTAGCAGAAAAACACCCCTAAAGCATAATGTTTCCACCTCCATGTTTGACGGTGGGGATGGTGTTTTTGGGATCATAGGCAGCATTCCTCCACCTCCAAACACGGCGAGTTGAGTTGATGCCAAAGAGCGCGATTTTGGTCTCATCTGACCACAACACTTTCACCCAGTTCTCCTCTGAATCATTCAGATGTTCATTGGCAAACTTCAGACGGCCCTGTATATGTGCTTTCTTGAGCAGGGGGACCTTGCGAGCGCTGCAGGATTTCAGTCCTTCACAGCGTAGTGTGTTACCAATTGTTTTCTTGGTGACTATGTGTCACGATCGTTTACGAACGAGAAGGACCAAGGCGCAGCGTGATAAGCATACATGTTTATTTAACGAATAAACACCACGACAAAACAACAAACGAAACGTGAAGTCCAAGGTAGCATACACACAACATACCTTACACGGAACAAGATCCCACAACAAACAGGTGCCAAAAGGCTGCCTAAGTATGGTCCCCAATCAGAGACAACTATCTACAGCTGCCTCTGATTGGGAACCACCCCGGCCAACATAGATCTACACATTCTAGATCTAAACATAGAAAACAAAATAGCAAACACAACACAGAAAATACACACCCTGACTCAACAAATACAAGTCCTCAGAGTCAGGGCGTGACAGTACCCCCCCCCCCAAAGGTGCGGACTCCGACCGCGCCACATAAACATAACAGGGTAGGGGCCGGGTGGGCATTCCGCCTCGGAGGCTTAGTGCGGGGAGGAGAAACGGGCCGGACCGTACTGGGAACACACACCACTGGCCTTGTGCGGGAAGCAGGAATGGGTTGGGCCGTACTGGGAACACGCACCACTGGCTTAGTGCGGGGATCAGGAACGGGCCGGACCGGACTGGAGACACGCACCACTTGCTTGGTGCGAGGAGCGGGACTGGGTTCCCTTATAAACCCCCGCTCCTTCTGCTGGCTAACCAGCTCCTCTTGCCGTGCCTCTACACTCTCCTTCTCCCTTATAGCCTCCTGTAGCTCCTCCCTCTGACCAAATAACTCCTGCTCCCTCTGAACCAATAGCCCCCTTAACCTGGTGGCCTCCTCTCCTAACCTGCAGAATCGCCCTGTCGCTGCCTCCTGCTGCCTCGTCGTCCACACCGTGTGCCCCCCCAAAATTTTTATTGGGGTTGCCTCTCGGGTCTCCGTCGTCGGCACTGTTGGCGCCGTTTCACCTCTCCTACCTGGACATCCTCCTTCATCGCCTTCTGGTAGCGGACGGCCTCCTCCTTCGTAATTCTCCCCCAACCGAGGAGGACATCTACTAAAGTCACCTCCTGTTTAATTCCCGGCGTTTGCTCCTGAACACGCTGCTTGGTGCTATTTTGGTGGGATCTTCTGTCACGATCGTTTCCGAACGAGAAGGACCAAGGCGCAGCGTGATAAGCATACATGTTTATTTAACAAATAAACACCACGACAAAACAACAAACGAAACGTGAAGTCCAAGGTAGCATACACACAACATACCTTACATGGAACAAGATCCCACAACTAACAGGTGCCAAAAGGCTGCCTAAGTATGGTCCCCAATCAGAGACAACGATCTACAGCTGCCTCTGATTGGGAACCACCCCGGCCAACATAGATCTACACATTCTAGATCTAACACATAGAAAACAACATAGCAAACACAACACAGAAAATACACACCCTGACTCAACAAATACAAGTCCTCAGAGTCAGGGCGTGACACTATGGTCCCAGCTGCCTTGAGATCATTGACAAGATCCTCCCGTGTAGTTCTGGGCTGATTCCTCTCCGTTCTCATGATCATTGCAACTCCACGAGGTGAGATCTTGAATGGAGCGACAGGCCGAGGGACATTGACAGTTCTTTTGTGTTTCTTCCATTTGCAAATAATCCCAACAACTGTTGTCACCTTCTCACCAAGCTGCTTGGCGATGGTCTTGTAGCCCATTCCAGCCTTGTGTAGGTCTACAATCTTGTCCCTGACATCCTTGGAGAGCTCTTTGGTCTTGGCCATGGTGGAGAGTTTGGAATCTGATTGATTGATTGCTTCTGTGGACAGGTGTCTTTTATACAGGTAACAAGCTGAGATTAGGAGCACTCCCTATAAGAGTGTGCTCCTAATCTCAGCTCGTTACCTGTATAAAAGACACCTGGGAGCCAGAAATCTTTCTGATTGAGAGGGGGACAAATACTTATTTCCCTAATTAAAATGCAAATCAATTTATATAACATTTTTGACATGCGTTTTTCTGGATTTTGTTGTTGTTATTCTGTCTCTCACTGTTCAAATAAACCTACCATAAAAATTATAGACTGATCATTTCTTTGTCAGTGGGCAAACGTACAAAATCAGCAGGGGATCAAATACCTTTTTCCCTCACTGTATGTGTGTGATGCTTGCAGGATCTTGACTCTTTAAAGATCTTATAGAATATTGATTAATATCTTGTCAGAATTCTGAAAGATCTTGAAAGACCTCCGTTAGGATCATTATAAGATCTTGAGCTGTTACAGATCCTCAGATATCTTGTCATCTATTTAGTTTGTAATCTTCTTCTCAATGATCTTGTCAATTCCCTGTGTCTTATTTTATCTGTTTGTTTATAACGAATCCACACGAAAGGTTTTGCTTATCATGACATGGAGGTTTGTGGCTTAGGATATTCATATTTTTGGGATGTGACCACCTTTACAAATCCTACAAATCTTATTTATCATAAAACAACACAATTGGTCACTACTTGCCTGGTACCAAATGGTGCCAAGTGGTCCTCTTTCGAATGAATAGCAAAGAAGTCCGTAGGTTATTGTGTAATTACTATTTTATCATGCAATTTCAGCTATGCTTTTATGTTATGACAGGGGTGAATACAAAACTAATTGCAGTTAATAGCATCTTATATGTTAGAAATTGCATGGGAATATGGTAAAACACAATTATAAACCATTCATTACTTTATTTCTTAGGTATTGGCCTCTAAGGCACAATGTCAAATATGCGGAGGAATAGCGGTTGTCAGGTTGTTAATGTTAAAGAATGTGTTCTCAATTACTTACCTGGTTAAAGCAGTGAATGACAACCATTATTTGCTATTCATGTAAGTTAACGGTAAGGATGTGACCCCGGGAGATCGTCAACAGGAGGTAGCGTCCCAGGAGAGGGGGGGGGTACCTTCACCCCTTCATCAAACACGTTCACACAGCGGACCCCCACCCCCGGGACGCTACCTCCTGTTGACGTCTGGTGGTTGTATAAGGCTGTCAATCATAATTATGCAAGTTCTACATGTAACTGACATCTGTTTAACATACACGGTTGAGCTGTGCGATCACAGGTACCGTATAGGAGCATCATACTGCATGTTGGTTGGGTTTGAGTACAATTATTAGTCAATTAGTCAATTATTATCAGTAAAATTGTCTGAATACTTGGGGTATATTTTGATTGTCTACTGTCTCAAAACGAATTCTTTGTTATAAAAATGTTTTTTAGTGTAGCTACATAACCAAAAATGTAATGATTATGACAAATCTTAAACCGCATCACGACTGCATTATAATGCATTATACATGTCAATGTCTATATATTTATGCATACATTTATAGCCCTTTTTACATCAACATTTCGTAAAGTGTCATCAATACCTTTATACTATTATACAGTGCATTCAGAAAGTATTCAGACCCTTGCCTTTTTCCACATTTTGTTATGTTACAGCCTTATTCTAAAATTGATTAAATTATTTTTTTCCTCATCAATCTACATACAAGACCCCATAATGACAAAGCAAAAACAGGTTTTTAGACATTTTAAAATAAATAACGAAAATATTACATTTACATATCAATCAATCAATCAATTTTATTTTATATAGCCCTTCTTACATCAGCTAATATCTCGAAGTGCTGTACAGAAACCCAGCCTAAAACCCCAAACAGCTAGTAATGCAGGTGTAGAAGCACGGTGGCTAGGAAAAACTCCCTAGAAAGGCCAAAACCTAGGAAGAAACCTAGAGAGGAACCAGGCTATGAGGGGTGGCCAGTCCTCTTCTGGCTGTGTGTCACGATCGTCAAAAGGAGCGGACCAATGCGCAGCGTTGCGAGTGAACATGATGACTTTATTAAATAAAGTGCAACACGAGAAAACAAAACAAAAGACGATACGTGAAGTTTAACACTGAATACAACTATCAGCAACAAGGAAACAAAAACCCACAAACACAAGGTGAAAACTGACAGTTTAAATATGGCTCCCAATCAGAGATAACGAGCCGACAGCTGACACTCGTTACCTCCGATTGGGAGTCATTGACTACAAACAAGGAAACACAACCACAACCTAGAAATAGAACCCACAGACCTGCAAACATAGAAATACACCCAAGAGAACAACCAACATAGAAAAACACCCAAATCCCCAACAAAACAACATACACTCTAGCTCACAATCAAAAGTCCTAGAGCCAGAGTGTCACAGTACCCCCCCCTAAAGGTGCGAACTCCGGGCGCACCAACCCACCGTCTAGGGGAGGGTCTGGGTGGGCGTCTGTCCACGGTGGCGGTTCTGCCCCTGGTCGTGGTCCCCACCCCACCTTAGTCACCAGCCTCCCTAGCCTCCTCCACATTACCACCCCCCCACTAAACCCCACTGGGTTAAGGGGCGGCACCGGACTAAGGGGCAGCACCGGACTAAGGGGCAGTACCGGACTAAGGGGCAGTACCGGACTAAGGGGCATTACCAGGCTAAGGGGCAGCATCGGACTAAGGGGCAGCACCAGGATAAGGGACAGCACCAGGATAAGGGACAGCACCAGGATAAGGGACAGCACCAGGATACGGAGCAACACCGAGCTAAGGGGCAGTACCGGACTAAGGGGCAGCACCAGGATAAGGGGCAGCACCGGGCTAAGGGACAGCACCGGACTCACTGGCGGATCCTGGCTGGCTGGCTCTGGCGGGTCCTGGCTGGACGGCTCTGGCGGATCCTGGCTGGACGGCTCATGGCTGGCTGAAGGATCTGGCTGCTCATGGCTGGCTGACGGATCTGGCTGCTCATGGCTGGCTGACGGATCTGGCTGCTCATGGCTGGCCGACGGATCTGGCTGCTCATGGCTGGCCGACGGATCTGGCTGCTCATGGCTGGCCGACGGATCTGGCTGCTCATGGCTGGCTGACGGATCTGGCTGCTCATGGCTGGCTGACGGATCTGGCTGCTCATGGCTGGCTGACGGATCTGGCTGCTCATGGCTGGCTGACGGATCTGGCTGCTCATGGCTGGCGGAAGGCTCTGGCTGATCCTGTCTGGAGGAAGGCTCTAGCGGCTCCGGTCTGGCGGACGGCTCCGGCTCATGGCAGACGGGCGGCTTAAGCGCCTTTGGGCAGACGGGCAGTTCAGGCCCCGTTGGGCAGACGGCAGACTCTGGCCGTCTGAGGCGCACCGTAGGCCTGGTGCGTGGTGCCAGAACTGGAGGTACCGGGCTGAGGACACGCATCTCAGGGCTAGTGCGGGGAGAAGCAACAGGGTATGCTGGACCCTGGGGACGCACATAAGGGCTAGTGCGGAGAGCCGGAACAGGGCATGCTGGACCCTGGGGACTCACCTCACGCCTAGTGCGGAGAGCAGGAACAGGCCGGGCTGGGCTGACGACGCACACCGTAGGCTTCCTACGTGGCACAGGAACAGGCCGGGCTGGGCTGGCGACGCACACCGTAGGCATCCTACGTGGCACAGGAACAGGCCGGGCTGGGCTGGCGACGCACACCGTAGGCATCCTACGTGGCACAGGAACAGGCCGGGCTGGGCTGGCGACGCACACCGTAGGCTTCCTACGTGGCACAGGAACAGGCCGGGCTGGGCTGGCGACGCACACCGTAGGCATCCTACGTGGCGCAGGGACAGGCCGGGCTGGGCTGGCGACGCGCACCGGACACTTGGTGCGGGTGGCAGGAACAGGCCGAACCGGGCTGGCGACGCGCACCGTACACTTAGTGCTAGGGACCGGAACAGGCCGTACCGTACGGGGAACACACACTACTGGCTGCACCTCGGGACTAGGAACGGGCCGGACCGAACTGGTTACACACCCCAGTACCTCACGCCGTGCCTCAACACTTTCCTTCCCTGCTTTACCCAGTAGCCCCCTTGACCTGGTAGCCCACTGAATCCGTCCCTTCTCTGCCTCCGTCAGCCCCCTTAACCTGGCAGCCTTCTGACTCTGCCTTGTGGCAGCCTCCTGCTGCTCCGTCGCCCAAGCCATGTGCCCCCCCAAAAAAATTTCTTGGGGTTGCCTCTCTTCCACGGGTTTCCAGCCTCGCCTTCGCGCTGCCTCCTCGTACCACCTCCTCTCGGCTTTGGCTGCCTCCAGCTCTTCACGAGGGAGGCGATATTCTCCCGGTTGTGCCCAAGGACCCTTTCCGTCCAATAACTCTTCCCATGTCCAGACCCTCGGCTCCTGGACACGCTGCTTGGTCCTTTGATGGTGGGTTTTTCTGTCACGATCGTCAAAAGGAGCGGACCAATGCGCAGCGTTGCGAGTGAACATGATGACTTTATTAAATAAAGTGCAACACGAGAAAACAAAACAAAAGACGATACGTGAAGTTCAACACTGAATACAACTATCAGCAACAAGGAAACAAAAACCCACAAACACAAGGTGAAAACTGACAGTTTAAATATGGCTCCCAATCAGAGATAACGAGCCGACAGCTGACACTCGTTACCTCCGATTGGGAGTCATTGACTACAAACAAGGAAACACAACCACAACCTAGAAATAGAACCCACAGACCTGCAAACATAGAAATACACCCAAGAGAACAACCAACATAGAAAAACACCCAAATCCCCAACAAAACAACATACACTCTAGCTCACAATCAAAAGTCCTAGAGCCAGAGTGTCACACTGTGCCGGGTGGAGATTATAACAGAACCATGCCAAGATGTTCAAAAATGTTCATAAGTGACAAGCATGGTCAAATAATAATCAGGAATAAATCTCAGTTGGCTTTTCATAGCCGATCATTAAGAGTTTGAAAACAGCAGGTCTGGGACAGGTAGGGGTTCCATAACCGCAGGCAGAACAGTTGAAACTGGAATAGCAGCAAGGCCAGGCAGACTGGGGACAGCAAGGTGTCATCATGCCCGGTAGTCCTGACGTATGGTCCTAGGGCTCAGGTTCTCAGAGAGAAAGAGAGAATGAGAGAATTAGAGAGAGCATACTTAAATTCACACAGGACACTGGATAAGACAGGAGAAGTACTCCAGGTATAACCAACTAACCCCAGCCCCCCGACACATAAACTACTGCAGCATAAATACTGGAGGCTGAGACAGGAGCGGTCCGGAGACACTGTGGCCCCATCCGAAGAAACCCCCGGACAGGGCCAAACAGGAAGGATATAACCCCACCCACTCTGCCAAAGCACAGCCCCCGCACCACTAGAGGGATATCCTCAACCACCAACTTACAATCCTGAGACAAGGCCGAGTATAGCCCACAGAGGTCTCCACCACAGCACAAACCAAGGGGGGGGGGGCGCCAACCCAGACAGGAAGATCACGTCAGTAACTCAACCCACTCAAGTGACGCACCCCTCCCAGGGACGGCATGAAAGAGCACCAGCAAGCCAGTGACTCAGCCCCTGCAACAGGGTTAGAGGCAGAGAACCCCAGTGGAGAGGGGAACCGGCCTGGCAGAGACAGCAAGGGCTGTTCGTTGCTCCAGAGCCTTTCCGTTCACCTTCACACTCCTGGGCCAGACTACACTCAATCATAAGACCTACTGAAGAGATAAGTCTTCAGTAAAGACTTAAAGGTTGAGACCGAGTCTGCGTCTCTCACATGGGTAGGCAAACTGTTCCATAAAAATGGAGATCTATAGGAGAAAGCCCTGCCTCCCGCTGTTTGCTTCGAAATTTTAGGGACAATTAGGAGGCCTGCGTCTTGTGACCGTAGCGTACGTATTGGTATGTACGGCAGGACCAACTCGGAAAGATAGGTAGGAGCAAGCCCATGTAACGCTTTATAGGTTAACAGTAAAACCTTGAAATCAGCCCTTGCCTTAACAGGAAGCCAGTGTAGGGAAGCTAGCACTGGAGTAATATGATCAAATTTATTGGTTCTAGTCAGGATTCTAGCAGCCGTATTTAGCACTAACTGAAGTTTATTTAGTGCTTTATCCGGGTAGCCGGAAAGTAGAGCATTGCAGTAGTCTAACCTAGAAGTAACAAATGCATGGATTAATTTTTCTGCATCATTTTTGGACAGAAAATTTCTGATTTTTGCAATGTTACGTAGATGGAAAAAAGCTGTCCTTGTGTATTCAGACCCTTTGCTCAGTACTTTGTTGAAGCACCTTTGGCAGCGATTACAGCCTCTAGTCTTCTTGAGTATGACGCTACAAGCTTGGCACACCTGTACAGTGCCTTGCTAAAGTATTCATCCCCCTTGGCGTTTTTCTTATTTTGTTGCATTACAACATGTCATTTAAATAGATTTTTATTTGGATTTCATGTAATGGACATACACAAAATGAAAAAAATAACTTGTTTCAAAAAATTCAAATAAATAAATAACGGAAAAGTGGTGTGTGCATATGTATTCACTCCCTTTGCTATGAAGCCCCTAAACAAGATCTGGTGCAACCAATTACCTTCAGAAGTCACATAATTAGTTAAATGAAGTCCACCTGTGTGCAATCTAAGTGTCACATGATCTCAGTATATATACACCTGTTCTGAAAGGCCCCAGAGTCTGCAACACCACTAAGCAAGGGGCACCACCAAGCAAGCGGCACCATGAAGACCAAGGAGCTCTCCAAACAGGTCAGGGACAGAGTTGTGCAGAAGTACAGATCAGGGTTGGGTTATAAAAAAATATCAGAAACTTTGAACATCCCACGGAGCACCATTAAATTCATTATTAAAAAATGGAAAGAATATGGCACCACAACAAACCTGCCAAGAGAGGGCCGCCCACCAAAACTCACGGACCAGGCAAGGAGGGCATTAATCAGAGAGGCAACAAAGAGACCAAAGATAACCCTGAAGGAGCTGCAAAGCTCCACAGTGGAGATTGGAGTATCTGTCCATAGGACCACTTTAAGCCATACACTCCACAGAGCTGGGCTTTACGGAAGAGTGGCCAGAAAAAAGCCATTGCTTAAAGACAAAAATGAGCAAACACGTTTGGTGTTCGCCAAAAGGCATGTGGGAGACTCCCCAAACATATGGAAGAAGGTACTCTTGTCAGATGAGACAAAAATTGAGCTTTTTGGCCATCAAGGAAAACACTATGTCTGGCGCAAACCCAACACCTCTCATCACCACGAGAACACCATCCCTACAGTGAAGCATGGTGGTGGCAGCATCATGCTGTGGGGATGTTTTTCATCGGCAGGGACTGGGAAACTGGTCAGAATTGAAGGAATGATGGATGGCGCTAACTACAGGGAAATTCTTGAGGGAAACCTGTTTCAGTCTTCCAGAGATTTGAGAGTGGGACAGAGGTTCACCTTCCAGCAGGACAATGACCCTAAGCATACTGCTAAAGCAACACTCGAGTGGTTAAGGGGAAACATTTAAATGTCTTGGAATGGCCTAGTCAAAGCCCAGACCTCAATCCAATTGAGAATCTGTGGTATGACTTAAAGATTGCTGTACACCAGCAGAACCCATCCAACTTGAAGGAGCTGGAGCAGTTTTGCCTTGAAGAATGGGCAAAAATCCCAGTGGCTAGCTGTGCCAAGCTTATAAAGACATACCCCAAGAGACTTGCAGCTGTAATTGCTGCAAAAGGTGGTTTACAAAGTATTGACTTAGGGGGGGGGGGGGGGGGGGGGGGGGGTGAATAGTTATGCATGCTCAAGTTCTGTTTTTTTGTCTTATTTCTTGTTTGTGTCAACCAAAAAAAATATTTTGCATCTTCAAAGTGGTAGGCATGTTGTGTAAATCAAATGATACGAACCCCCCCAAAAATCAATTTTAATTCCAGGTTGTAAGGCAACAAAATAGGGAAAATGCCAAGGGGGTTGAATACTTTTGCAAGCCACTGTATTTGGGGAGTTTCTCTCATTCCTCTCTGCAGATCCTCTCAAGCTCTGTCAGGTTGGATGGGGAGCATTGCTGCACAGCTATTTTCAGGTCTCTCTATGGATGTTCGATCGGGATCAAGTCCAGGCTCTGGCTGGGCCACTCAAGGACATTCAGAGACTTGTCCCAAAGTCACTCCTGCGTTGTCTTGACTGTGTGCTTAAGGTCGTTGAACCTTCGCCCCAGGTCCTGAGCGCTCTGGAGCAGGTTTTAATCAAGGATCTCTCTGTACTTTGCTCCGTTCATCTTTCCCTCGATCCTGACTAGACTCCCAGTCCCTGCCGCTGAAAAACCTCCCCACAGCATGATGCTGCCACCACCATGCTTCACCATAGGGATGGTGCCAGGTTTCCCTCCAGACGTGACGCTTGGCATTCAGGCCAAAGAGTTGAATCTTGGTTTCATCAGACCAGAGAATCTTGTTTCTCATGGTCTGAAAGTCTTTAGGTGCCTTTTGGCAAACTCCAAGCGGGCTGTCATCTGCTTTTTACTGAGGAGTGGCTTCCGTCTGGCCACTTTACCATAAAGGCTTGATTGGTGGAGTGCTGCAGAGACGTTTGTCCTTCTGGAAGGTTCTCCCATCTCCACAGAGGAACTCTAGAGCTCTGTCAGAGTGACCATCGGGTTCTTGGTCACCTCCCTGTCCAAGGCCCTTCTCCCCCAAAGTCTCAGTTTGGCCGGGCAGCCAGCTCTAGGAAGAGTCTTGGTGGTTCCAAACTTCTTCCATTTAAGAATGATGGAGGCCACTGTGTTCTTGGGGACCTTTAATGCTGCAGAAATGTTTTGGTAGATTTCCCAGATCTGTGCCTCGACACAATCCTGTCTCGGGGGTCTACGGACAATTCCTTCGACCTAATGGCTTGATTTTTGCTCTGACATGCACTGTCAACTGTGGGACCTTATGTAGACAGGTGTGTGCCTTTCCAAATGATGTCCAATGAATTGAATTTACCACAGGTGGACTCCAATCAAGTTGTAGAAACATCTCAAGGATGATCAATGGAAACAGGATGCACCTGAGCTCAATTTCAAGTCTCATAGCAAAGGGTCTGAATACTTAATTCTGTTTTTTATTTTTAATATATTTGCAAAATCTTCAAAAACACTGTTTTTGCTTAGTCATTATGGGGTATTGTGTGTAGATTGCTGAGAATTTGTTTTATATTCAACGCATTTTAGAATTAGGCTGTAACGTAACAAAATGTGGAAAAAGTCAAGGGGTCTGAATACTTTCCGAAGGCACTGAATACCCCCTTCAAGTTAAGTGTTACTGAATACCCCCTTCAGGTTAAGTGTTACTGAATGCCCCCTTCAGGTTAAGTGTTACTGAATGCCCCCTTCAGGTTAAGTGTTACTGAATGTTGAAAGAAGTCCTGCTGAGGCTGAGGCTGTCCTAATATGGACCATTGGTCTAATGTGGTGTTGTGGCCTGTGTTGTCCCTGCAGTACCTGGGCAGGTGGTTCAAACACCGACCAATCAGCCTGTGCTTAGCAAACCTTTGGAAAAAATTGTGTTTGATCAAATACAAAGTTATTTTACAGAAAACAAATTAACAACAGACTTTCATCATGCTTATAGGGAAGGGCACTGAACATGCTCGGCACTGACACATTATCTCCTGGCTCAAAGTTGAGGAGAGATTGACTACATCACTACTGGTCTTTGTGCGAGGTGTTGATGTGTTGAAGGTACCGAACTGTCTGTTCAAGCAGTTGGCACACAATTCGGACACTCATCGGTACAACATAAGACATGCAACCAGACGTCTCTTTACAGTCCCCAGGTCCAGAACAGAGGTTGGAAAATGCACTGTATTAAATAGAGCCATGACTACATGGAACTCTCTGCCACCCCAGGTAACTCAAGCTAGCAATAAAACCAGTTTAAAAAAACGGATAAAACAACACCTTACTGCACAAAGGGGACAGTGAAGAGACACAGCCATTTTATATATATTGTATTGTAATTTGTACTGTACTATGTATTAGACCTAGATATTGTTTGTATGTACTCATATGTAGGCTATGTGTGACGTTTTAAATGTATGTATTTCAGTCCTTGACTAATAATGTTCTGTACTATGTACTATGTCATGTTTCATGTGGACCCCAGGAAGAGTAGCTGATGCTTTTGCAGCGGCTAATGGGGATCCTAATAAATACCAAATAGTAGTAATGGTAGTAGTAGTAGTAGTTATAGTAGTGGTAGTTATAGTATAGTAGTTAGTAGTAGTTATAGTATAGTAGTTAGTAGTAGTTACAGTATGGTAGTTATAGTAGTAGTAGTTATAGTATAGTAGTAGTAGTAGTTATAGTAGTAGTAGTAGTAGTTATAGTATAGTAGTAGTAGTAGTTATAGTAGTAGTAGTAGTAGTTATAGTATAGTAGTAGTAGTAGTAATAGTAGTAGTAGTAGTAGTTATAGTAGTAGTAGTTATAGTAGTAGTAGCCGTAGTAGTCGTTAAAGTAGTAGTAGCTATATTATAGGATTATACTATTGCTGTAGGCCTATATAATACTACTAATGTGACAATAATGTGATCAAAGGAATAAGTCAAACATCATTGTTTTTTTGAGGGATCCTCTCTTCTCTACTTCAGGTACTCACCCTGATCCCTACTGGGTGCTGTCCACCGACTATGACAGCTACACCCTGGTGTACTCCTGCACTAACTTTGGCGGCCTGTTCCATGTGGACTTTGCCTGGATCCTGAGCAGAGAGCGTTCCGTCCCAGACGAGACCCTGGAGGAGCTGCACAGCCATCTCACCTCCAAACGCATCAAGAATGACAAGATAACCATCAGCGACCAGAGCCCCAAACGCTGCACTGTCATGCCTGAGTAACAAATAAACTATTATTTATTTGTTACTACTAGTACGGCATCCATGTTAGGAAGTCCCTCAGTTGTCAGCCGAAACTTGTCAGTTGTCAGTCCAGACTTTGGTCCAAAAGAAAAGTTTTTCTTTCAAATATTTTGGAGCTATTGATTGAGCCTGTCTGGAGAGCCAAATGTGCAGGGTTTATACTTTTAGGACAATTCCATTGGTTAAATAGAGCCAGGCAAGCTCAATCAAGGGCTTAAAACATACAGTATTATTTTCTGTCAACAGATTTTGATTCTGTCAACAGAGAGAGAAGTGTAGTAGTGGTTGTCATTCATAATATCGATGGAGGGGAGTTGGAATGATGCTTTAAGTCATGTAATCTCTTATTAAATGCCTGCATGCAAAGACTTGTATGTTTGTTACTGAAAATCATAGCTTACGTCTTATATTCAAGTTTGACATCCTCCAAACTGTTGTTTAAATTACAAATATGACTGTGTGGAATGACCTTGTTACAACAAATTGTTTAGTAAATACCTAGTAAGGTCTGCACTGCAAAATAGAGTGCTACTCAAAAATGTCCCAGTGAACTGTACTAAAGAAAAGAGCAGACAAGACAATGTCTGTGGGAGGTAAACAATTAATGACCACCGAGCGCCGTTAAGTCCTGGAAATCCCCCCAAGAGTGACATGAACATTTCACGACAATGTCCCAGAGAGGGCTGTCCGTCACAGTCCGTCCTATTCCATCCCGCCAGATTGGTTAACAACATTTATCCTGGTATGTCCCCCATGACTCAAATTTGCTAATTGTTTACTTTCTGTCAGAAATAAGCCTCGGGATGCTACAAAGACGTTCATTCATGACAGAGACTTCAGTGTGGCATGACCCAGGAGAGAGAAGGTTATCTTATAAATACACATCCTGAGTTGACCAGATATCCTGACCAGAGAGACAGAGGTAAGATGTGCTTTTCGCTGTTGTATGGGATTTCATATAAAGATAAATGTTTCGAATGAATGAACGCTATCAATGTCCAAACGAGAAACCTTGTTTGGGGAGTTCAAATGAACTGTAGAATTTGGTTTGTGCGATAGCAAGTGAAATAAGGTAGAGTTTGCTGAATATCTTTGTCATGTGAGACGAAGAGACTAACACCAGGGACTGGGAAATGAAACAAATATGATCTCTATATAGCTGTATATTTACAAATAGCATAGAACTTAAAATAACCCAATGATTGATGTGTGTTACATGGTTGATGCTGAAACACATTTATATTGATTTTCTTTTTGTTGTTGTTGTTGATAATCTTTTTTTTCTGTCTTGAAAATGTGACTAATTAGGGGAAAGTGTGAGTGACATTTGCCGGCCATTTTAAGACAGATATCAGAGATACTGTATGTTTTGCGTTTATGACAGATAAGAGATATTATATGTTTATATTTTGCATTAAATTATGAAATGATGGCCTATGAGTCATCTGTCCTCCATTTCTCCATTTACCATTTTAATCGACTATGAAAAAAGCTGTCGAGATCGAATTTCCTGTGGTTTGCTCTCTTTTACCATCTTTCTATTTGTAAAATGGATAACAAAGCCTACAACAACTAAGGCCAGTTTCCCAGACCCCAATTATACCTATTCCTGGACTAACAACCTCCCCAAAGATGGTCTATTATATTGACAAGATAGTCAAGTGACCGCCCTAACAATGGAAATGCATGTCCTCAAAGATGGAAGGCAGGCGGGAGGAGGCGAGATCAGGTGGGACCATTCTAGCCAATGAGAGGGCAGATACACGTGTGAACAACAGGCCCTAGAGATACTGTAGATAGAGGATTCATCTTTGTATCTGTGTCGTTATAGATCTGTGACAGCATGGGCAGCGCCATTGAAGCGATCTCCATTTTAAAGTAGTCCATTTTCTTCTTCTTCTTTGACTGATTGCTCCAAACTCATAGGAATCTCCATCCAGTTGACTACTTTAAAATGGAGTGGAAGCCCTCAACTTAAATTTCCATGCTAAAAATATCTCTATGAAAACAGGCACAATTCAAAGTTGGCAAAAAGCCAAGCGCGTCCACTTATATCAGTGCATTTGTACCACAGGAGACTGCTGAGGAGAGAACGGCTCATTGTAATTTAAGGTGCCACCGGCTGCCTGTGATTTGTAACAACGCAACCATTACGAAACTTGTATTCGATCAAATAAGCCTCATATAGCAAATTTGCAATTAGCATTATTTTCGTGAACAGATTTTGGGCGGAGTAAAACCTCTCGCTTCGCCTCTTCCTCTGTTGTCCCTCTGATTTTTTTGATTTTTTTGTAAGCTTTGTTTTCTCTGTTGATTGATTGTCATTATTTTCAGGTGACGGCTGCCCTGTAACCATGACGCCATTGTTTGCCCTCATCTTGCCTCTCCTCCTCCTCCCCCTCGTCAGTACCCAGGTACCCCACTGGGGGCCTTGTCCGGAACCAGCCGTCCAGCCCGCCTTCAGCATAAAAAAGGTACCAACCCCCTGCCTGACCAATCGGCACAGATAATGTACCTGCCAATCATGGATGGCCAGCCAATCATATAAATGATTATTATCATCATGAACATATCACAGTGAATGTCACATACTAAATCTACCTGTCATACCAGATGAACACTAAACACTACACTAGTCATGGTCTCTTAATTTTCTAACTTGTCTAGCACTTTTCATTACAGAAGAAAATCCCAAAGCGCGTAAAAGCAAAACAAACAAGCACAACAACATGTTAAGATGTGAGATTGAGAATTTTTGAGTGTGTATGTGTTTATTTACCCGTGGTTCTAGTTCATGGGTAGATGGTTTGAAATCGCCAAACTGCCTGCCCAGTTTGAGAAGGGGAGGTGCATCGAGACCAACTTCTCCATGAAGGCTGATCAGACCATTAGAGTGGTCAGCTCTGAAATGTTGTGAGTAGATTACGTACACCTAGGATTGCAAAATTCCGGTAACTTACATTTCCCAGTTTTCCAAAAATCCTGGAAGATTCCGGATTTCCTTCTTATTTCCTCCTAATTCTGGAAAACCTTCCACCAGAATTACTGGAAAAAACTGGCAATATTGGGAAAGTTACTGGCATTTTTCAACCCTAGATACACCTGGATTACATAGACTTTTATCCTGAACAATGTTGTTGTTTGAAAATTCATAGTAGTGGACCATACATTGGGCAGCAGGTAGCTTAGTGGTTAAGAGCGTTGTGCCAGTAACCGAAAGGTCACTGGTTCTAATCCCCGAGCCGACTAGGTGAAAAATATGTCGATGTGCCCTTGAGCAAGGCACTTAACCTTAATTGCTCTGGATAAGAGCGTCTGCTAAATGACTAAAATGTAATGCAGTTTATTTCAGTTGAAAATCAGCTCATTTCAGTTGCCATACAGTTCTTTCTGTTTAAATCCTTTGATATGAATCTAATGCTTTTGACCTTTTGGTGACCTTTGACAGAAAGGGAGAGCTAAGGACTATCGAGGGGACAGGAGTCACGGAGGACTTGAAGAACCCAGCCAAGTTAGGCATCAGCTACTCTTACGGTGAGCATTATGATAAGCTGTTACGACGTAACTACAGTAGAGCAGGGCAACCAGGGTTGTGTTCAGTAGGGAGAAACTGTATTAAATAGGGAGGTACTGCATTAAACAGGGAGAAACTGTATTAAATAGGGAGGTACTGCATTAAACAGGGAGAAGCTGTATTAAATAGGGAGGTACTGCATTAAACAGGGAGAAACTCCATTAAATAGGGGGGTACTGCATTAAACAGGGAGAAGCTGTATTAAATAGGGAGGTACTGCATTAAACAGGGAGAAACTGTATTAAATAGGGAGGTACTGCATTAAACAGGGAGAAACTCCATTAAATAGGAAGTTACTGCATTAAACAGGGAGAAACTGTATTAAATAGGAAGTTACTGCATTAAACAGGGAGAAACTGTATTAAATAGGAAGTTACTGCATTAAACAGGGAGAAACTGTATTAAATAGGGAGGTGCTGCATTAAACAGGGAGAAACTCCATTAAATAGGAAGGTACTGCATTAAACAGGGAGAAACTGTATTAAATAGGGAGGTACTGCATTAAACAGGGAGAAACTGTATTAAATAGGAAGTTACTGCATTAAACAGGGAGAAACTGTATTAAATAGGAAGTTACTGCATTAAACAGGGAGAAACTGTATTAAATAGGGAGGTGCTGCATTAAACAGGGAGAAACTCCATTAAATAGGAAGGTACTGCATTAAACAGGGAGAAACTGTATTAAATAGGGAGGTACTGCATTAAACAGGGAGAAACTGTATTAAATAGGGAGGTACTGCATTAAACAGGGAGAAGCTGTATTAAATAGGGAGGTACTGCATTAAACAGGGAGAAACTGTATTAAATAGGGAGGTACTGCCTGCACCTCATTACATTTACATTCACGTCATTTAGCAGACGCTCTTATCCAGAGCGACTTACAGATAGTGAATACATATTTTTTTATACTGGCCCCCGTGGGAATCGAACCCACAACCCTGGCGTTGCAAACGCCATGCTCTATCAACTGAGCTACATCCCTGCCGGCCATTCCCTCCCCTACCCTGGACGACGCTGGGCCAATTGTGCGCCGCCCATGAGTCTCCCGGTCGCGGCCGGCTGCGACAGAGCCTGGATTCGAACCAGGATCTCTAGTGGCACAGTTAGCACTGCGATGCAGTGCCTTAGACCACTGCGCCACTCAGGAGTAGGAGTATAACGTCATCTAGGGCAGGAGTGTCACTGCCCAGCTCCAGTCCTCAAGGGAAACATAATATAATTAAAAAATATGCGTTAAGGTGTCTGTAATAGAATAAATGTGACTAAAACAAATGTAGACATTAATAAATGCATTTCTATAGCTTCCTAAATATTTTTGACAATGGTGGGGGAGTGCCAAGGTGGAGGCGCGTTTGCTTCAAAAAGCAGCCCCTGTCCGTCATCTAGTGTACATGTAAATCATTGAATAAAACAGGGAGGTGGCTACTACCTGAACTTGTCCAATGAGATTTTGTTTTGTTTTCGGTTGCAAAATCTTTTGCTACAGTGTGCCCTACTGAACATGTGTGTGGACTTCCCAGCTAACAAATGACATTCATTGGTCAACATCGTACCAGAATAATAAACAAAAACTAGAAAAGATGGCAGCCTTTAAGAACAAACTGAGCAGTAGAGATCACTCACCACGGAGTTCTAATGGGAGGGGTTGTTTTTAACTGAGCAGTAGAGATCACTCACCACGGAGTTCTAATGGGAGGGGTTGTTTTTTCAAAATCAGGAGATGTCATGAGTTGGACCCGTTAGCCCATATAAACAGAACAATATCAAATAACAACCAAAGGCCATCTCATCCCACTTTGTTGATCTTGACATCATTTGAGAGGGGTAATTTCAATTTTCTGCAGTTTGAAGGAGTCATCACGACTGTAATCACGTTATAATCTGTGGAATAAATGTAATCAAATCAAATCAAATCAAATTGTATTGGTCACATGCGCCGAATACAACAGGTGCAGACATTACAGCGAAATGCTTACTTACAGCCCTTAACCAACAGTGCATTTATTTTTAACAAAAAAAGTTAAAATAAAACAACAACAAAAAAAGTGTTGAGAAAAAAAAGAGCAGAAGTAAAATAAAGTAACAGTAGGGAGGCTATATATACAGGGGGGTACCGTTGCAGAGTCAATGTGCGGGGGGCACCGGCTAGTTGAGGTAGTGGAGGTAATATGTACATGTGGGTAGAGTTAAAGCGACTATGCATAATGTGATCCTGTGGTTGTTTCCCATCTCTGTCGATCCTGTGGTTGTTTCCCATCTCTGTCGATCCTGTGGTTGTTTCCCATCTCTGTCGATCCTGTGGTTGTTTCCCATCTCTGTCGATCCTGTGGTTGTTTCCCATCTCTGTCGATCCTGTGGTTGTTTCCCATCTCTGTCTCTCTAACAGTCCTCCCCTACTCGCCTTACTGGGTCATCTCCACCGACTACGAGAACTCAGCTCTAGTCTATTCCTGCACCGATGTCCTGCGTCTGTTCCACATGGACTTTGCCTGGATCCTGGGGCGCACACGCACCCTCCCTGCCGCCACCGTCGACAAAGCCAGGGAGATCTTCACAAGCAGCAACATTGACGTTAGCCGGATGGTCGCCAGCAGGCAGCAGGGCTGTGATAAGACCCTCTGAGAGATTGAATACAATTGGATAGAGTAGAACTTCATAGAATTTTCCCACAGGGACATTTGGTTTGCAACAACATAGTATGCAAAAGAGATGTTGATGGAAAAAAGTAATATAGTTTCCCTCATCTGTGTAATAACATGTTAGCTCGGCAAACTTCAGTGACATTCCATTCATTATTCAGAGGAATTATTAGAGGAAAATAATGTACAGTAATATTTTGTCAGAGTTTTTTAATGCTTTTTTAAAAATCATAACAAAAAAAATTAGATAAATATTCCAGTTACATTACGTTATTTTAAATCATATGACTGGAAATTAATTGTTGTGACCTAATTTAAAATGTTTGTCACAAACTGAAAACATGAGTATTCTCATTAGAGGCAATAAAAGTATAAGGAAATCAATATCATGTGAGTTTGATTGATCTTGGACAGATGTCTACTGCCACCTTGTGGCTACTGTAAAAAGAGAACGCCTGATAAATGCACGAGTCTTAATATGTTCCTAACATATTAACATTGTTTTAATCCATCATATGGTCTCATTCAACATAGTCTTAAACTAAGCTAAATACAAAATCAGTGTAAATGTGCCTTAGAAGGCATTTCTATAGCTCCTATGCACTCAAAGGTCTCCGGCCCCTTTATTATTTTGCATGCGCGTTCCTTGTCTCCCCATCGGATATATTTTTATTTGACACTGCATCAACCCGGCGACGGCAGCTAGCTAGCAGCTAATTTGCTAAACATTCAAGCGTTCAATTATTTAATTCATTCATGACAATTAAAGGCCAATCAAACTCAGCCATGATGAAGCCAGCAGTCGACGAGATGTTCCCTGAAGGAGCTGGGCCATACGTGGATCTTGATGAGGTTTGCAAACATTTGTTATGCTTCAGAATTGCTAGTTAGCTTGCTATGATAGCTAACGTTAACGTTACGTATTAGCGAGCTACTGTAACTAGTTACATTTACTCTGAATGAACTCACACGAGAAGTAACCAAGCTCTATTTGGTGGTTGTAGGACGTTTAAGTTAGCTGGAGATTCGATTAATAATCACTTTTATTGAATTTAGCCAGCACAGCCTGGTAGCTAAATAGCTAGCGCACCGTTGTCGTCTTCTTCTTCAGTGGGGTTTATCGGCGGTTGGCATCCAACGTTATGGTGCATTATCGCCACCTACCGTACTGGAGTGTGGGCCAGAGACAGGGAGAAACTAAATCCTACCTGCCAGCCCCGTTGTTCTTCAAAAAGATAACAAAGTATTTTAGACTATATCTAATGACGTTCTACTAAATATACTCTTTAAACTAATTTCCTGTATCACCTTCACCCTCATACTAGATCTCAGCCTCTCTCTTTCCCTCTGATACTGCCCACCACACTGTAGCAATACATGCTCCACAGTCTCTGTTTCCTGGCAATAATCACACGTTCCTGTTGGATGCTTTCCTATGACATTTAAGGTCTTATTCAACTGGCTGTGTCCCACCCTTAATCTTGTAAAAATAGCCTCCTCCTTTCTGTCCCTTCCTGCCGTCCTCCCCTCCCCGACTTTCCTCTGTACTTGAAATAAATGCCTGCCCTTTAGTATCTCTATTCCACTGCTCCAGCCATCTCTGCACCATCACTGTCCATATCAGGCTTTCTGCCTTGCTCATTGAAACTACAATATCAACATCCCCACTACTAAGTGCTTGTTTAGCCAGTACATCAACTGCCTCGTTCCACTCCACCCCCACATGGGCTTGGACCCAAGTAAATCGTATCTGTATACCCATCTGTCTAATCCTGCCATGGGTTTGTAGCACCTCATAAAGCAGGTCTTGTTTGCTACGTGAGCTAAAGGACTGGAGACTCATTAACACTGCACATGAATCAGAGCAAATAACTACTCTGTCTGGCTTGACTTCCTCCACCCACTGCAAGGCCAACAGTATGGCCATCAGCTCCACCCACTGCAAGGCCAACAGTATGGCCATGGTGGATTTACAGGAATAGCTACCGTTGGACTAAACTCCCTTCCATACAGTCCCATCTCCTTCGCCTGGGCATTACCCACCCACCCAAAGCTCGTGTTCTGTCTTCGCTCATGTTCCCAGCATGCCTGTAAAATCACTTTCGCAGGATGACAACCCATGTCCCTGTAGGTTGACCCAATAAATCATTGCCAGCTGCTGTCTCCTAATCTGCAATGGCATATCCCCCATCTCCACCTGTAGTGCAGCCACTGGGGACGTCCGAAACACCTCACTACATCAGTCTAGTGTCAAAGTATACCCCAAGGAACCTGAAGGCCCCCACCCTCTCCAAGTTTCTCCCATATAACCTCAAGCGTACCTAATCTCCCACCTTCCTCCTGGTAAAGAACACTGTTTGAGTTTTCTCTACAGAGAACCTGAATCCCCACATTAATGTCCACTACTCTACCTCATCAATTGCTTCCTGTACCTTCCTGACTATGAATGGCATATTTATTCCCCTCTTCCATAAGGCCCCATCATCTGCAAATTACGACCTCCCAATATCCGGCCATAACTGAAAGTAAACATCATTGATCATGATTGAGAACAACAGAGGACTAATCACGCTCCCCTGTGGTGTACCGTTATCCACCAGGTAGCTGCCTGATAGAGACTTCCCCACCCTCACCTGGATAGACCTTCCAAACAGGAAATCCTTTATCCAGTTGTACGTTCTTCTTCCTACCCCCATAATATCAAACTTGATTAACAACCCCTCCTTCCACATCATATACCTTCACATCAAAAAAGACAGCTACGACAGTCTCCTCTCCGTAACCATACGTTCCATAATCTTACATATATGTGATGTTAAAGCTATTGGCCGACAGCTTGTTGGCCTCGTTGGGTCCTTCCCTGGCTTCCGGATTGGTACCACTACTGCCTCCATCCAGCTGCCTGGTAGTTTCCCCTCCTCCCACACAATACCTTATCCAGTGCCTCATCACTAAGATGGGCCAACATAACATAGCACACCTCATCTTTCCCAGGTGAAGGTAAATGGTGTATTCAACGCATCATTTACATCCTCCTTCCTATCCAGCACTCCAGGATTCTCCTCTCTTGTTCTCTCTCTGCCCCTCCTCTGACAGATTTGCAGAGCTATGCACTTGGACAAATACTTTGGCCATCATCTCTGCTTTCTCCTCATCTGTTACTGCCACATCCTCCCCACTCGTCAACACTGGATAATCCCACTCCCTTCTGATCCCACTCATCCTCTTAATCATCCCCCACACTTCTCCCACAGGTGTCGCCCTTCCAATGGTGTCACAGAACCGATGCCAACATGACTTCTTTGCCTGATGGATAGTTCTCCTCACCATGGCCTGGGCCTGCTTATACTGAATCAGATGTTGGAAGTTATGCGTCCTTTTCAGTACTCTAAATGCCCTTTTCCTACTCCTCACCATTGCCCCACATTCCTCCGTCCACCATGGGACTGCTTTCCTCCTCCTCCTCCCTGAACTCTTAGGTATAGCCTCAGTAGCTGCCCCCACTAACGCTGTTCTCACCCAGTTATTCATACTATCCACATCCCCTCTCATATCCACCCGAGCCATCACCTGCTCACACAGCTCCTGAAACTGATCCCACTTTGCCCTTCCAAACACCCACCTGCCTGCTCCATCCACTGACACCTCCTCCTCCCTTCGGCCTACTGTGCATACAATGGGGTAATGATCACTCCCTACTGTGCATACAATGTGGTAATGATCACTCCCTACTGTCGACTCCTCCCATACCTCCCACTCACAGACAGATTCCTGCCATCGCACTAGATACCGGAGTGAGGTCCAAGGCAGACTCTTTCCCTGTGGCTACATCAATCCTGGTCCCTCGGCCATCATTCAAACACACTAGATCTTTCATTTCTATCAGATTTTCCATCACATGGCCATTTCCATCCATCCGTTTCCCCCCCAGAGCGTGTTGTGGGAATTAATATCCCCACACCACATGACCTTACTTCTATCCTGGCCCTCCACCCTCTCCAGCACTTCCAGGTCCAATATCTGACAAGGATTATAGTAGTTCACTCCCACTAGCACCCCTCCTCTCAGCCACACCTCCACACCACATATTCCTGTTCAATACCTTTGCCTAGCAACCTGTAAGGAAGTTCTTGCTTTATGAAGGTGGCACCCTTTTTTTTTCTATGTATACCATATCGCCGCCCACCTGCCCCCGTAATCCCTGGTCTAGATGCTCCTACCCATCTCTCCCTTGAATTGTAGCTCCCTGGACCTGGACCACCCCCACTGCCTCAGCATATGACACCCTTCTCTCCTGGACCACCCTCTCTGCCTCAGCATATGACACCCTTCTCTCCTGGACCACCCTCTCTGCCTCAGCATATGACACCCTTCTCTCCTGGACCACCCTCTCTGCCTCAGCACATGACACCCTTCTCTCCTGGACCACCCTCACTGCCTCAGCACATGACACCCTTCTCTCCTGGACCACCCTCTCTGCCTCAGCATATGGCAACCTTCTCTCCTGGACCACCCTCTCTGCCTCAGCATATGGCAACCTTCTCTCCTGGACCACCCTCACTGCCTCAGCATATGGCAACCTTCTCTCCTGGACCACCCTCACTGCCTCAGCATATGACACCCTTCTCTACTGGACCACCCTCACTGCCTCAGCATATGGCAACCTTCTCTCCTGGACCACCCTCACTGCCTCAGCATATGGCAACCTTCTCTCCACTCTCACTTGTTGCACCTCCACTGCCTTCTTCATAACCTCACACACACTATATGCCACACTATGAGCACCCCCACTGCTGCAGCACTTTGGTTGTCCACCATCTCCACACTTCCCATACTCATGCTCTCCTCCACACCTGGCACACCTCTTTTTCTCTTTACAGACTGTTGCCACATGCCAAACCTCTGGCATTTATAACATCTTAAAGGCTTCGGTACATAAGCCCTCACATAATAACTCATATATCCTATGGTTACTTTATTTGGCAGTACCCGGTCCTTGAAGTGTAACAGAATAGACAGGCTATCTACCCTAACTCCACCCCTTGTTGCTTACAATCTTTGAACATTCACAAGAACGCCTCCTCTCAAATTGTCGTCTACCTCTTTTAGTGCGAACACTCACAGGCACTCCTGTTATCACCCCTTTACTCCACTGCTTCCCTGCTTGGTCAGACCAGCTGCTCGACACAGAACTGCCGATGGAACTGGCCGCCAATGATAAGGCAGTTCATGTAGACATTTTCAATGGTAAGATTAAGAACGCCTGTTAGGGTGAAATGATAACTCTAAATCTCCCATAGTAAATATGGAACTATCTATCCTGTCAGAGACCGAGGTGCTGCTACATTCTTGGGCTTTAGTGGTCAGGTATTGGATCAGGGCCATG